CCTTCCCCAACCTGTGAATTCCAATAAAGTAACAATTATTGGTAATAATAATGGTAATTATTAATATTCAATCATTGGTTATTTTTATTTTTAATTTTTAAAATTAACAATATTTATTAATTTCCACTCTTTGTGATAAATATTTTGTAGATTCTAAACAATTTAATTTAGTTATTTTTGAAGATTCTAGACAGATGGAATTAATCATACCAGATGAATTACCCCAATAATCCAAATCTTGTTATTATATTAAATTATTTATTATTTATTTTTAAATATTTCAAGTAATGATGTAACTTTTCACAATTATCTTTGGAATTTTTTTTTCATTTGAAATTTGGATGTCAAATAAGCACACATTAAAATAATGATTTTTGACAAAAAAATAAATGTAATTTTAATAATCATAATTGCAGTATTATTTATTCCTTACCTTTTCAAATCAATATTTTCATTTTTTATAACATTAACAAATTTATCATATATATAATATATAGAATAATATATAAATTTTAAAATTTAATACATGACTTTTTTATATGATTCAAGGATAGTCTGCAAAATAAAGAAATTTAAATAGATATTCAACAAACTTGCCCAAGTAAAAAAAATTACCAATGAAAATTTTACAAATTCAAAATGGATAATTTATTTTTTCAGCCACAAATGTATCTGGAGCACCCAAACTGACTCTGAATAGTTTTCCTTCTTTTTCTATGTGCATTTTGAATAAATTCATAAATCAGCAATCCAAAATAACGGAAACATAATTGCAATAAAATAAAAAAAACTTAGTGTAAACTATATATGACAATGCACAATATTTAGATGTTATTTCTACATTTCCTTTGCTTCTCCAAAATGTGTGACACAAAGAGTCTACTGAATTCCTAAAACATTTTAAAAGGTCTGATAGATACTTTGGTTTTTGTGTTTTATCAGGTAGTCCAATGTTTTCAAACAAAAAAATTATATTATCGGTTTTTTTATAATCATATAATATCCCATTTCCATTTTAATGACACTATATCATTTTCATTCCTATTCAAATAAGAATAATTAGATTAATAAATTTTACATAATTTCCATTTGTTATTTCCATTTGACTTATCAACTTGATATAAATACACCAGGGAAATATAATTTTCACAGTAGAGGTGTAGGTATTTCATCCATATCTTTATCTAACTGAACACCAAAACCTGCTTGTAATTGCATCAATTTGATCTTGATTATTTCTTTTATTAACCCAGAGCTTTCAATATCAAACCCATTGAATAAATTTGTTTATTTTATTTTATTAAGGTGTCATTTATTTTTCTCTAAAAAAGAAGGAAGACGGTAAAGTCATATGAACTAATTAAAAAAATAATAATAATAAGTTTTGCTTACTCCAAGGTTACATTTAATTCAATCTTTTATTCTGTTTATATTAATTGTTTGAAAGGAATTCGTTTTTTCAACTTATTAAACAATTCTTGATCTATAATATGACATTTTTCTTCACTAATATTTATGATATTTGCCTCAGGAAGCCTATTTTGAATAAAATTTTTAGTTAAAAATTATAGATTTTTGCAATCAATCATTAATATAATCTTTGAGCCGACCTACCTTTAAATTGTTCATCTGTTAACCCATCAGCTTCGACTCCATTAGAAAACATAACTTGAGATATGCTTCTGAACATAAAAATTCCAAATTTAGTGTGAGCTGACTGATTTAAAAGGATTAAATCTGTGATTTACCCCAGATAAAGACACTACCATAAAAAGCACTTTTTGTGATTCAAATCATAACCTAATAAAAAAAATTTATATATGTTGTATGTGAAATTGAAACAATGTGAAAATCGAAATTTATAATTAAAATTTTGGGGTGGGGTGTTTGGATATGAAGTTTTGATTGGCTAATTTGAATTTCACATGTGTGAATTGCAAATTCACGTAGATTTCAACGGTGATGATGATGTTCTAAAGAACACACACAAATACAAAGAATTTTAAACTAATGTAAATTAATTACCCTATTTTTTTTAATATTGGGTGTAGGATCTGCTTTAATCTATTAAAAAAAAAGCCCGAAAATAATTAATATCATTACTGCAAGATAGATATCTCAAGGTTGCAAACACGTATTTATAATTGAATCAATACCTTTTTAGTTCTCAAATTATAATTATTGATAGCTTCTCCATTATCCACTCCAATAAATATACAATCATTAATTAAAATTAGAATGGCAGTGAGTTACAATGATCACAACCATTACCATCATTCTTTTAATAATAACTAGAATGATGACATGTTTCAGTATTGCAACACTTTATAAATTTCGTAATTTTTTGAAAGAAAGTATTTTAGTAATGATCATATCTCACAACAATCATAAATAAAATTCAAAGTTCACCTCGTTTCTGCTAGAGTTTCTATCCATAAATTCGTGATACAAATTCTTATTCAAATTATTCGTTTTATTCGAATTATTCGTTTTATTTTGAATTACTCGTTTTATTTTGAACTACTCGTTTTATTTTGAATTATTCATTTTATTATGAATCAATCACACCAGCTTTATCAATTAATTACAGTCAGAGTTTTATTATCAAATATATATTATTAAAAGATTAAAGATTAAAGGAAATTTCAAGTGTACTTCTTCTTGAAGTATTACAAATAACATGACTTTTTACATGATTTTGTCCAATAAAATATAATAAATATGATTAATAAAGAATGACCAATATTAATATTACTAATATTAAATGTCAAAATGAATGTCATGATTAAGGATGGTTTTGAAAAAATCAATTTCAGCAAGCAATTTCAGATTTACAATAATTATAACAATAGACATGAAAAAGCTACCCAGAATTTTGGCCATTGAGTTAAAGCATTCAAATAATTTCAGATATAATTTCGGCAACTAATAAAATTATTCAGCATTTCAGGATCATTTATTAATATTAAGAGAGGCAATTTTGGCTAACATGCTTAGTCATATATAAAATGAATTGGTTGACAACAATTGGGATCCAGGTCCTCAATTTACTATGAAATGATTTCATTAATACATGTATGATTAGTCTCAGGAACTTGCTTATTTAATTATTCATAACAATGTTTTGTTCTTTACTATTTTTCTACTTGGATAATTGGTTGTAGTGGCATCTGAATCAATTTTTATGCAAAGATATCAAATGTTTTGTCATTATTATCATTGTTAAAATTCATATGCGCTGATTTTGTTTGAACCCCAAAATTCAGTACGGTATTATCATAAAATTATGAATACTTTATTTATACAGTACTAGCAAAAACCCCTTGGTTTTGAGGTGGGGCCATTGGTTTGAATAGTAAAATTAGTTTTTTTGCGGTGCAAAATAAATTTTTTTACACATTAAAAATACTCGTGTTTAACGTCGAGACACAATAAGATATAAAATTCGAAAAAAGGTCAAATCAGCTGATATATCGATTATCGTTACGGTTGTCAAAATAGTCACTATAACTAGCAATAATATTTGCAATTACAGATGTTAATTTATTATTGTAATTATTTCAGTATTATTAATTACAAGCTACATCCGGAAAATATAAAAAAATTTTACACGTGTCAATTGTAAGTTTAATAATAAAAAAGTGTAAAACTTACGTCGGCACTGTAAGATTTACACAATATTACGTCGGCATCGTAAGATTTATGCAAGTTTACGCTAAATTAATTTCCTGATGTATTTGTGAATATTATTAATAATAGAAAAAAAGTCAGTCATATTTACATTTTAAACACAGTGATAAAATAATTTATTACTACTAAGGTTGCTTGCCGAAACTAACTAAGGGGTTTCGGCAGAATGGCGTATGCGAAACTGCCGAAATAGTTTTAGCAAATCGTTCTGAATACCGAAACGCCGAAACTGTAGCTGACTTTTGGTATAGCTGTTAGTAAGATTTTAATATAGTTTCGCCATAGTTTAACCTAGAGGTTGAGAATCAACTATTTTAGTTAACTAATACTAACTACCAGTATAATATAAATTTTTTTTGAATAAATAGTGACTATATTTTAATTGATTATTTAGTATTAGTCTAGAGTTCTATTCGTAATTTTTATTCGTACAACTTAATATTAATATTAATATTAATGTTAATTCGTTTTATTCGTTTTATATATAATAGTAATGGTAAAAATCATCCAGTTCCGCTTTACGTTCTTATTGTAACATGATGTTTTCACTTGCATTTTCTGTTTATCAAAAAAAAAATTTTTTTTGTTCAAGCCGTTTTTGCACTATTTCAATCTTGATTGGGGATTATGCATATGAAAATCAACATAATACAAAATAATGGTTCGTCAAAATCTTTCTCAGCTGATTCTTTTTTATGTTTTCTACTAAAACGTGTTACTCATTTGCATCCGACTCACCTGCTTCTACTCTTTGTTTTAGATCTGAGCATTTCTTACTACATTTCCTGACAAAAAATAGACTCTTGGAAGTTGTTTTACTTGCTCAGACATGCGGTTACTTCCACCATGCTTTCTAAAAATTTTTGTTTTTCACGAAGAGCCCAACCCAGTTCAAAGTAATTCATTTTAAAAATTAAAAAATTTAATTTAACATCTAAAAAATATTTATTATAATAATTTTCTTCTCTATAATGGACCATTTGGTTCAAGAAAAATGTCCGTTATGGACAATAATATATATATATATATATACATATAAATTGGGCTTAAATTTTCAGTACATTATAGAGAGTGGACTGTTATAGACAATAATAATTTATATATATAGACATGTAAATTGGGCTTTCCGTTATTATTATATCAATTATATATAGAGTGTGAACTGTGACTTATTCATTTTTTTAACTGCTTCACCTTCATTCCCCAGGCATCATTATATTAATATGGCGTTTTATTGTTTTGTATATTTCAATTAATATTTGTTCAACAATGCAAATTTTCATAGGGAAATAAGAAAAATATTTATTTAATATAATACCTTTTGATTTTGTATAGGGTTTTTTCTCTAATCTGCTTTCATAATGTAAATGATGAATGATTGAGCCCAATGAAATTAAATTTTACTTTTAACAAGGGTTGATATACAGTCTAACCTCGGCCAAAAAAATCCGCTGTGACGAGAAATCCGCTATGGCGAATTTGATGATCTGTAAAAGATTTTTTAAAAATGACTAAAATGACTGGGATTAACATGTTTTATTTAACTAAACTTTAAATGTAATTCAAATACTCAAATTCATAACGAATAAAACAAATAATTTGAGTAAACCTTATTCAAATAGAACCCTAACGACGATCTATTTTTTTTCAATTCATGTATAAAATACATCGTCACCGCTAACCTTTTAAACTCTTATTGTTTCAGGTTTTAAACTACAACGCCTTTGATTAATTAAGTCTGTGTCTCCAGAAAAAACTCGTTCAACCGGGACACTGGTTGCTATAATAATAATAAATTTATCGGATTAGAAATTAATAAATTGAGTTCTAAATAAGCATAGTACAAAAATTAGAATACCAGAAACTGCGAGTAGTTTCTAGCCTAAAGCTCCGAAATTTCAATAAGGTTACGGTTCGGTTCAAAAAGTAAACCAAAACCGAAATGAAATTTTTCGATTTGACCTTTTAGAAACCGAAACCGAATCGAAATTTTATAAATTTATTTAGGAAAAAAATTTAGTCAAATAAATTTTATAATAATAATTCGATTACAGAAAGTACATATTCATACAACATCATAGTTCACATTCCATTGACAGCTTGGTAAATTTAGTTTATGACATTAAGTCTTAAATGCATCATACTTAGATCAAAATTGAAATTATCGGAACAGCATGAGAAGCTCTGCTACTCGGAGTATAAATGGTTTGACCGGGATGCAGATAATTTCTGGTGCTTAGAAAACTCAATTATGGAAAGGTTGAAGTACGAATTGGTATTTCTCGAAATATCAAATGGTCTCTGCATTGAGAATTCCAGCGATATAGAAGGTGATAAATAAAATTAGCTAAATTCTGTAAATGCTAATGGGACTATTCGCTCATGTGAAAGCCAATAACAAAGGAATCTTAACGGTTACATTGAATTCTGCGATTTAGATAATCATCTTTTTAAAAAAATTAGAGAATTATCTTTTTAACCAAATGAAATTTTCAGGTTCACTAATTGACATAAAAAGAAGATTCCACCACTAAAAAAATTTACAATAAATACTCCGCTCAAACTCAACGATGATATTACAACAGATATGATATCTAGAAAACTAATAACTTCAAACAAATCAGTGAAACGTAAACTTGATAAAGTATATAATATTGAATTACTTTCTCACAAACAACAGTACATCCAACGATAATAATACTGATAGTGGCGATGAGACTGTGCAAAACAATACAACGCACATCAATTAAAAAAAAGAACTATTGATATTAAATATAATTTTAAATAAATAAATTCATATATTATAGTATTAGCATGTTCACATTGTTTGGTTTTTTCAGTATGCCTCATATTGTATTTAAACCTTGATATCATAAATCTAATCCAATACTCATACTAACGAAATATACATTTTTGTCAAACGCCCGTTCTTTATTTTGATTTGGTAGGAATGTGACTATCTTATACTAAAAAAGTGGAATTAAGGGGGTTACCACACTACCGGGGTACCCTAAACTAAATTGTTTTATTTAAAATTTTTTTTTTTAAAAAATGACTGATAAAAGTAACTTATCAAATGATTCAACAACAAACTCCGACGCCACAATCGATCAAGTAGTTGATAAGGAGGAAGAAGAAGTTATTGATAATGAAGTTGTTGAAGATCTATATGGCAAAGAGCACCTCAACATTATTTTCATTGGACATGTTGGTAAGTCAACACAGTGATAATTTCTTTTTTTAATTTCAACTACAATTTAATTTATTGATTAATTAGATGCCGGAAAATCAACCATGGGAGGGAACATCTTGTAATTTCAAAAAAAAAGTCCTCTACAAATATGAATAATGATGAGAATTGAATTTGTTTAGTTTTATTAATTCAAAATACAACGTTATAATTAGATATATAACTGGAATGGTTGATCAAAGAACTATGGAGAAATATGAAAGAGAAGCAAAAGAACAAAATAGAGAAGCCTGGTATTTAACGTGGGCACTCGATACAAACAAAGAAGAACGTGAAAAGGTATTCTAAAGGTTTAAATACTCTTCGTTGTTATTATGAAAGTAATTATATTTATTGGCTTTGGCTTAATTTTTAAAATTTGAATATTTTTCATTCTCAAGGGTAAAACTGTTGAATGTGGGCGTGCCTATTTTGAAACAGAGAAGAGAAGATATACAATTCTTGATGCACCAGGTCATAAGAATCTTGTCCCAAGTATGATCGGTGGTGCATCTCAAGCAGATGTTGGAGTGTTGGTTTGTGATAATGATTATAATAAGAATAAATTTTTCAAATGTTTATTTTATATAATTATATAATTTTTTTAAAGGAAATATAAATATATACGTCTTATGTAAATAGGTTATATCTGCTCGTAAAGGTGAATTTGAAACTGGATTCGAAAGAGGTGGACAGACACGTGAACATGTAGTATTAGCTAAAACATCAGGTGTAAATAAGTTAGTTATCGCTATTAATAAAATGGATGAATCAACTGTTAGTTGGTCAAAAGAAAGGTAATATTTAGAAAATCAAGGGTGAATAAAAATAATGGTTTTTAACTAGTTTTGTTTTAATTTATAATAAAATAGATATGATGAATGTGTTTCAAAGCTCACACCTTATCTTAAATCAAGTGGATACAACCTGGCGACTGGTAATAATAGTGATGATGATGATGATGATGATGATCACAATGATAATAAATTCTAAAAATAATTTTAAATATTTACTAAAAGTTGTCATTACTACTATTATCTTCTATATTAGATGTTTTTTTTATGCCAGTTTCTGGTTTTACAGGTTTAAATCTTAAAGATAGAGTACCAAAGGATCTTTGTCCTTGGTATAGGTAAATAATAACGATGATGGTGATGTTTTTATTAATTTATATAGTTTATTTACTTTTATATATGATATTTATATATATATACATATAGTGGTCCATCATTATTAGAATATTTAGATAATATGCAAATGTTAGACAGAAAAATCAATGCGCCATTAATGATTCCTATCATAGAAAAATATAAGGTAATGAATGCTTGTGTGATTTCTATATGAATATTTATTATTTAATAAATGTACTGACGCATTTTCATTTATTTTTTAGGATATGGGAATGATTGTTGTAGGAAAAGTAGAATCAGGGAGAGGTTAGATAAAAATAATATTGAAGATGATTGATTAACTAAATATTCATCAAAATATCAATTTATGAAATTAGTTAAAAAAGGCCAATCTGTTTTACTCATGCCAAATAAAGTATGTGAACATTAATTTATAAAACATTTATGGTGATGATGATGATTGATTGGATCGAATATTAATGATTATATAATACTATTTAGAGAATTGTCGAAGCTTCAGCTCTTTATAACGAACTTGAGAATGAAATACCTATGGGATATTGTGGTGATAACATTAGAATAAAACTTAAAGGAATTGAAGAAGAGGTTATACATACATACATACGCATTTATTTATGTTTATGTTTGTATTATATTTACCTATTAAATATTAAATTAATATTTTTTTAGGACATTTCAGCTGGTTTTTTATTATGTTCAACAGATAAACCAGTTAAAACTTCATCTACTTTTGAGGCTCAACTTGCGATCCTTGATCATAAAAATATTATTTGTGCTGGTTACAGTGCTGTATTGCATATTCATTCATGTGTAGAAGAAGTATCAATTTCAGTTAAGAATCAACTTTATATTTATAAATCAGTTGATAATTAAATTAAATATTTTATTATAAATTTGTACAAATACATACGAATTATATGCATTTGCGCTAGTTTTTAATTAATGATTTTTCTTTTTTTCAGTCTCTTTTACATCTTATAGACAAAAAAACTGGTAGAAAATCTAAAAGACCTCCACAATTTGTTAAAAAAGGTCAAAAGGTTATTGCAAAACTTGAAACACAAGGTCCAATTTGTTTAGAGGCATTTTCTGACTATCCACAGTTGGGGAGATTTACAATGCGTGATGAAGGTAAATCAATTAATTAATTAGTGGATTAACTTGTTGTTTAAAATATGATATTAATGTTTCAAACATAAAAAAAAAAAAAATTTACTCTTTAAAGGCAAAACAATTGCAATCGGAAAAGTAACAAAAGTTATTGAAAACGAGTAATTGTAAAAAAAAAAATCATAATTGTTAATGTCTATCTATCTTATCTATAATTTTTTAATATTAATATTAATAATAAAAGCAAAGATTTTCTATTTCTATTATTTGTGGCAGACAAAATGAACCAATACAACGTGGTCATGATAATATTTCCTATCCATTCTTTTCAACACTTTAATATGAACGAAAATGGTGTCATGCAATTTTAGTTGGATGTTATTATTAATTTAAGTTGTGTTGCCTTTGATTATTAAAAAGGCAATTCTTTCTAGATATCTACTACTTCTTTTTCTATTCTAAATTTCTCTATATATTAATATTGCTGCTATTCGGATGAATATTTGGTACTACATACCAAATCAACAATGATCATTATCTTGAGCGAAAGCCATGCACAATTTGATAATAATTTTTTATTGAATAAAACGTATAATTTGATAAACAAATACAGTCTACACTGTCTATAACGGACCTTTATATAACGGATCTTTCTCTATAAAGGATTAAAAGTTTGGTCCCGATTTTTCACTATTTGAAATCTCTTTCTATAACGGATATTATTAATTAAACGTATAGCGGATTGTAACTTCGTATTAATAGTAACTTTCTATATTGACCTGAACTATGTTTGATGATCAACCATTGTGACCAACCCCAAGGTATTATGTGATAACCCCCAAACTCTGAAAATTTTGTTGTAAATTTCGCGTAACATATTGACCAATAATAACATTTAATAATTGTTCCTTTTTACAATATGCCAAAAGGTGGATTACCAGAAGAAATATCAAATAAAATTCGAAATGGTGGTAAGTGTTTGTTCTTCTTCATTGTATGGATGATGCTAAATACTCTAACTTTGTACTCATATGTCAGAGCATTAAGAGAAATCTCCTTCCAAGTGGGGAAATGTAGAGATGTGGGATCAATTCTTCATTGAGAAAACCCATCTGCAACAAGGCAATGTCACATAATATTTTAGGTGTTGAATTACAAATTTTGATCCAGGATCTAAAACCTGGCACAAGAGCAAACGAAAAGGCATCAGCAATCCAATGTGATTTAAAGGCCAGTAATATTTTTCATGATAATGAATGTTCTACACCCTATGCTACTGGTATGGGGAAGAAGTGCTCAGTCTCATGTACACCATGACATGCAAATTTTGTTTACAGCATTGTGTGCATACCCTACACTACTGGTGTAGAGGAAGAAAGTGTCTGGTTTATACATCGCTGCAGTGTGAGCATTTTGCACTTTCATGGGAAATGTACCCTGCGACTACTGGTTGAGTTGAGGCCATTTTGGCTGAGGTGGGAAGCGATCTACAACCTAGCCTATGCTTGTTGTGGTTTGTGCTGTCTCCTGCTGGTTTAGCATATTCTTTTTTTTAACCATCTATTGATGTCACAGGAAAAGGGAAAACTTACTTTGAAAATCCACCTTCTTACAATGAACATCACATGATTGATGAAACACGAATTAAAAGTTCATTATAACATGTATTTAATTAGTTTACGCTTCATTATAACAAGGTGTGACTTTAAACTGGATTCCAAACAAGTAAATTCTCTTTATCTTTCCAAATTGTGTTATTAATTATACTGACCTCCTTAAATATTAACATTGTGAGTAAAAGTTGCACTCAATTCCTTACTCTGATTTTTTAAAGAAATTGGGGGGGGGGTTCTTTTTTAAACTTATCCCCAACAAACAATGAATATTGTGTGTAAATGAATGGCCTATTCTGAAGAATAGGTGGTATGTTAGCAGTTTAGGTGTTGAGTGTTGATGTACTCATGTCTTGCAATCAGGCATCTGCTGTTGAGGCTTGTGCACACTGGGTACCATATATTGGAGCTGATGCCCATCTAACTGTTGATCATATGTTTATGTTAAAGGCCATGTTATCTTATTAAATAACCATGCCATTCTTTTTCATCAACATATTAACACTGATATAATAATAATGTTTGTTAATTAAAATTATATAAATATGTTTATTAATGTATATTTATTCTTGTTTATTAGACTCATAGAAGATCAGCAAATCCAAGAAATCATGTTTGTTACCATAATCCAATAAGAACACAATGAGACATTATCAATGTATTTGTAGAAGAATCAGACCTTGGAATAGGGTAAATCATTCATTATTCAATGGGAACTTATAGAGAATTAAGAAATTGGAGGAGATAGAAATTGGAATGATTTTCATTGTGTCAAAGAGCATTGGAGTTTTTTAAAATTCTTAATTGTATATATTTACATACCCAAAGATTTTTTGGCAGATGATATCTTTTTTAATATTATTGTTGTCACCTTTGTTGTTGTTTTTCTTAAATAATAAATACATTAATGGGAAAAATAACAGAATGATAAAAATAGAACATAACTAAACCCTTTAAACATTACTACTATATTAAAGACTAGTGCCGTAATCCAAAAAAGGAAAAAGGATGGTTGCAAAAGTGGTCACAAAGGTAATTGCAACCACTTTTTATATGCCGTAAATACAATTACTACCATCATCATAATTTACGGCACTAGTCTTTATACTATATTATTAAAAATCAATTTCTTTTACTGTCAAAAATCAAAATTCTTTTTTCAATTTAATATATCAATATCTTAAGATGGACAGATAGACCTTAATAAAAGACGAACTCACATTGAAAAGCTAGCCAAAAATAAAAGATTAAGTAGTGATCTAACATATGTGGATAATGTCCCAAATACCAGTGATGAAATTGAAATGAAATTTAAATGAAGATTTGTGTTCCAAAGTCGGATCTGAAATTGAGCCTGAAGTTGAACCCGAATCTGGATCTGGATCTGACTCAAGTTCTGACAATGATAAATCCTGGGAGGATGTGAATGTTGAAAATTTTACCTTTGTAAATGACACTTATACTTCAATAAAGAAAAGCAGGACTTTTTATATGGGATTCAATCAGGACATGCCAAAGAGTTGAGAGATGCAGCAATTGGATCTTCTAAAATTACTGAATTTTTCCATATTCAAACCCCTAATAGAGATCAATCTTTTGATGATGATGACGATGATAATGATGATATAACTGGAAAAATATAATAGATTATATTGAAGAATCCCAATTTAGTCAATGATGCAAAGTCTAGATTAACAGCAATCAGGGTGTATTTTAGAAATTTAAATAATGGTAAAAAAAAGGTTGAAGCAAGCAAGATAGTGGCAGTATCTCTAGGATGGACAGTTAAGATCTGGTGTGTATATGACATATTAAGGAACACCGTGGATGCTTTGATTTTTTAATATAAGATTCTGTGGGGTCTATTCTATCCATATGCAGAAAGAATAGAAAGGATGACAAAACATAGTATATAGAATTGAATAAGTGTTGCATTTTTAAAAATGAAGCTGATTAAAATAAAATTATATTTTAATTCAAGTCTTTTGTCTTTATAAGTATCATAGTAATAGACGAATATCCGAGTTTGTAGATAATGAATTATTTTTTTATTCTGACAAGATTATGGCGCAGATATTGGCGTCTTTAGATGAAAGATTTTCAACAACTTGTGTTTTGCCAAATGTTATCACGTGACTACGCACCATCTCCTATATAAAAAAAAACAAGCTTGAATTAATTCATATATAGTTTTATATATATATATATATATATGTGCGTGTATATATATGTATAATTTTGGGAAAATAAAGAACAATAATCACTATAATAATAATAATGAACATTGACTCACTTCTTCTATCTTTAAAACTTACTAATTCATCAACACCTTCAAAAATGCAAAATATTCTTGCAAAAGACGAATCTCTTACCTCAACTGAAATTAAACAATTACTTCGTGAATCTATTATACAATGTTCCGAAAGAGGACTTTATTTTTCTGCAAAATGGTACAATTAAATCTTTTTAATAGTTTGTCTTTTTTTTTTTTATAAAAATGAAAAAAACATTATTGATAATTTATTTATAAATATTATTATAGGGCTGCCGAAACATTATCAACGATAGATACAAGTGATTTTATACAATCTGATGGTTCAAGTAGCATGGATAATTCACAAGATAAATTTACTCCTCAACAAAATCTTGAAATGACAAAAATAGATCAATTAGAATATGATTTATATCTTCTTGGAAAAAGTTATTTCGATGTTAAAGAATTTGATAGAGCAGCTTATTTTTTGGAAGAATGTAAATCATCAAAATGCCGATTTCTTAAAATATATTCAAAATACATGGTAGTAATATTTAATTGATTTTTTAATTTGAAAATGTGTGCGTATGTAGTGGGGAGAAGGGCAAAAATAGTGAAGAATGCTTTGCAAAATGTTTAGTTTAATACTTAATGTCAGAACTTTGGTAAATTGTTTAGGCTGGCGAAAAAAGAAAAACGGAAGAAAGTAATGACATTATGGGTTTGTATAATATGGTTATTTGGATATATTTATTTTTAATATTAACATTTAATTTTGAAAATTTTATAGGACCTTTGGATGATTCAAAAGTTATGAATAAAGAAATTTTAAAACTTTGGGAAGAAATAGAATCATGGCATGAAGAGGGAGGATTAGATGGATTTCTAACGTATCTGTGGGTTGATTTATAGATTATTTAGATTATTTATATGGAAAAAAAATAATTTGTTTGAATAATAATAATTTATTGTTGTTTAAGATTACTTTGTAAAATAATCAAATATTTTCAATTAGTTATGGATTGCTTTTAAAACAACTAAATCCACAATCAGAGAATATTATAGATATATTCATAGAATCTATTTGTAAATACCATTATAATTGGAGTGCATGGCTAGAATTGGCATCTTGTATATCAAATCAAGACATGGTATTTATTTAAAAATAATTAATATATATTTCTTTTTCAAAAAAATGATATTAATGAAAATAATTTATTATTACATTATTTAGCTTAATAATATTCTATCTAAATTACCCAACACTTTTATGACTCGATTTTTTAGAGTTCATATGTGTGTAGACTTATTAGAGAAACCACAATCACTAAATGATCTAATATCAGAATTTCCAAAACCTTTTGCAAATAATAATTATTTACAAACAGAAAAAGCAGTTTTGTTATATAATGCTGGAGGTAATTAAAATTAAAATCAATAACACACAATTAAAATAATAAAATAATAAAATCATTATCACTACTTTAGACTATGTTGAAGCAGAGGAAATTTTTAGTAATCTTTTAACCAAAGATCCATTTAGAATTGATCAAATGGATTTATATTCAAATATATTGTATGTGATGGAAGGAAAATCTGCAAAATTAAGTTTTCTAGCACATATAACATCATCAACTGATAAATTCAGAGCTGAAACTATGTGTGTTATAGGTAAATTATTATATTAAAATTTTTATCTATTTGTAAAATTTATTTTTGTTTTAATTTATTTTTTTGTTTTAATCAAGGAAATTATTATAGTTCTAAATCGGAGAGAGAAAAGGCCATTTCATATTTTCGAAGAGCTTTACAAATTGATAGATCCTGTACAGCAGCTTGGACATTGATGGGGCATGAGTTTGTTGAATTAAAAAATACTCATGCAGCAGTTCTTTCTTACAAAAGGGCATTGGGCAAGCAATATTTTATTTAATGAATTTAATAAATTTATTGTTATTAAAAATAATAATATATAAATATATACTATTTAGAAGTGAACCCTAGAGATTATAGAGCATGGGTTGGAATAGGCCAAACATACGAGATGTTAAAAATGCCTTTTTATGCAATTTATTATTATAAAAGATCTAGTGCTTTAAGGTAAAATATATAGTGTGACTTGTTAATACATTAATTAACTTACTTGATTACATTAATAATTATAGCAATATTGTTTTTCTTTTGATAGACCAAATGATGCTAGAATGTGGATAAGATTAGGTTCAATATATGAGCAACAGCGACTTTATCCTGAAGCAATAAAAGCTTTTAATAGAGCACTTTCAGTCACAGATATCGATGTTAATTCTGCTACTACTGCCACTACAAGATTGGCAAAATTATATGAAAAGATTGATCCTGATAAAGCTGCTGAATTTCATACTTCAATATTGGTTAGATCTGATGTAAGTCTTTTATTCTAATATACATATGTGTGTATGTGTACTGTTTTGCGTTTATTATTATATTATTTTTATTTATACTGTTTTATGTGTGTGTGTGTATATGTTATTAGTTGGCTATAGATACAGAAGATATTAAATGTGCACATACATTTTTATCTTTTTATCAAAAAGATAAAGGAAATTTACTAGCTGCAACACATCATGCACGTAACTTATTGGAATATGGCGGAACAGTAAGTTTGTTAATGATATGTTTGATTTTTACCCACTCCTCTTTTTGGTTGCTTTATTTATCGTTTTGATTGTTTTATTTATTATTATAGGCAAAAGAGGAAGCAAAGAGATTGTTACATATAATTAATTCATTGAAGGGTAATGATATCGTATAAAAGCTAGTAAATAAAAATTTAATTTTAAGTTTATTTATTTATTGCTATTGTTGAATGATTTTCACTTCATCCGTCTTTCTTTCTTGCCCATCAGCCACTATTACTATGTTGTGGCTTGACCTGTCTGAAAATTTTTTCATACATGTATTTTATATATATTGAACTCTACTAGCATTGTTATGAATATCATTTTTTTCCGGCCGAACTGGATGATAATAATAGTAATAATAATAGAAGAAAAGAAACCAAAAATACAAAGTTCGGCCGAAATATATATATGTATTGGTACAATTTTTTGTAAAGATAAAAGCTAATAATAGAAGAAGTTTTCGGCCGAATAATATCAAAAAAAGTAAATACCAAGAGATTATTTTAATCTTTTACATTGCGTATCAGATCAGGTAATACATACATACTAATTGTTGTTGTTCTTAAAACAAAAAACTCGGCCGAATTATTTCCATTGTTATCTTTTGCAAGTGAATGAGTGAATGTGAGTGACACACTTAAATCTGATCAAAAAAATAAAGATGTCACGAAAACTCTTAATTAATGATGGATAATAATAAAAATGATTGGCGTGTGTGTTGAAGACGCGTAACTATTATAATTGTGGTTTAATTAAAAGAAAAGCCATTAACCGTCGCGAATTTTTTCTTTTTTTTTTTTTTTTTTTTCAAAAATTAAATATAGTTATTTTACTTGAACGAAATTCAAATTGAGTTTAAAGATATACTAATTAATACTGCTTATTTTGAATAAGGTATACTGTTTAAATTTTATTAATTAATGGATATTTAAGCAAGGAAATTATTCTATTGTTATTATTGTTGTTGTTGTAGTTAATATCAATAATTTTTATTAGTATCACGCGATGGGTCACAAGAGCATGGCGAAAGTTGGTTTTATTATTATTATTAAATATATTAAGTATATTAATATGCACGAGAGAATAATTTTATTCTTATGCCACCACTGTCATTACAATCTTATTCTCATTCCACCCCCGCTTTTAGTGTGCCATTCATTATATTTGAGACACTTATGTTTTAAGTTAAACCTTTCAAAGAAAAAAAATATTATTATATATATTATATAGAATAAGAAAGATTTTCTTGTAATGGAGTAAATTATAAGCCTTGTGAGCTGTGAATATAGTCGCAGGACATTTGTCACTTTCAAGGGGTCAAAACTTCAATTTGAAACATAATATACT